AGTTCATGAGACTGAATCTTCTAACGCTGTGGAAAAAGAAATTATTTCATTTCTTGCAAAAAGGAGTTTAATTTTTTTCTGTAGCCTCACCCTAGACAACAACTTTCATGTGGAAATCTCATTTTGTTGTAACTTTCGAATTTAACTACTAAGCATGGGCCGTAGACAAAGGCATGTAGCCTGGAGACATACTGCCTTGCTACTTTGAGGATAGCGACCGGAATACATTTTACGGTATGACTACGGGCCTCGAGTTCCTGGAAGAGAAACTACACCGACGCATTTCCCCTGCCTTCCTGTCTCAACGCGTTTCTGGCCCCTTCGATACGCAATTTCTCACAAATCAACTTACTCCTGACGTTCGTATCAGGCAACCAACGATGAAGGAAAATCGTAGACAATACGGTGTGCCAAAAAACAGGCTCTTACTGGATTTCGGTGAGCTTTCCACGGGAAGACGAAGAATTGAGAGTAGTCGATGAAAGGGCGTCTTCTTGGCCAGTCATTCAGTGACTTCTTGTCAGTCCGACTTGCGACTTGATATTTTCGTTTCTTCCGCTGCCTCTTCAGCTCCCGTGAATCCTTCGAGGATTCGTGGGCTGAGCCGATTCGGGCCAGCTCAGCTACTCGGACACAAAATAAAAAGATGTCATTTCGTCCGTCCACAAACCTGCTACCAGTACCAGGTAAGTCAACGAGTCAAGTCGCCCTGCAATCATTAGGCAGCATTTGCAGAAGCAGAAGCTCTTCGAGAGTTGCCTGTGGTCCCTACATGCCATAAACGTCTCGAGTTTGGAAATAGGCACATTGCCATGTTAGATAACACTGCATGAACACAACCTTCATTGCAATGCTGGATATGAAGAACAGGAGAATGCTCTATTTGGTTGTATTAAGTTGTTGTTGAGTTCACTTCCATATCGAGTGAAAATGTTTGGTGAAGAGACTTGAAGTTTGGTCACAACAAAAGGTGATTCACATTCCTCTTGACAACCTGTTGATTCACTTTGCTAGAACATTCTTGTAGACGCTGTTCTTGAGGCAATCTCCTTTGATTCTGGTGAAAAAGTACAATACTTTTGTCCGTCGTATGACGGAAAGCACCATATTGAAATTAACGAAATAATAAAACTCGCTGCCTTATCCCTAAATGCTCTATATCCATACTATATCTAAGCTTATAGATGAGGTATAAAGTGATTTGGTTAGTTCAAGTTAGATGCCAACTTCGAAATATGTAAGTGTGTCTGTCTGTTTGCGTTTATGTGCGTTTATGTGCTCGAATATGTACGAAACCAGCAATGGAGGATCAAAGTAATTAGAACCTAAAAGTAGAGTCGGTTCTTGGCCATCAAGGTTTGATAACCACTTTCACCCTCTTTTTTCGTTTATAAGTAAGCACTAATACTCTTTAAGACCTAATTATCAAAGAAAAATGAGTACTATATTTGATTGATATAGCAAATTTAATTTTACTTTCTCGACAATTCCACCGAAGAGTGCGATGTCGGAAAATGCCTAATCTTCTTTGAAATACATATATGCTCTGTAACCCAAGGTCACTCGTGGAAATGTGGTGTAGTGATTAGCGTGACGAGATTATACGCCGCACTGTCCTGGTTCGAGTCCCGCTGAGGGTGCTTAGGAGACTAAATCGACTCTAAGCATGTAGTCCTTTTTGGATCATAACACCTTTTGCTATAGCAAGGCCATGTGCAATTGAATGGAAACGTGAGGCTTATTCATATAATTGTGGGAAAAATCAATCTCCGTCTAACGGCGGACCAAAGTTTGGCACGTTTTCACCAGAATCGAAGAAGATTGCCTCAGAAACAGTGTCAACAAAAATGCCAATCGGCAGCTGGTCGCGAGGATCCGCCACTCACTTCTGGTAAGATCGCCCTTTAAAATTCTTTACCAAACTCTTTCACTCGAAATGGAATATAACACAACACTGATGTACCAAGAGATTTGTCGAAACCCAACTTTTCTTAGTATGTAATAAGTTAGTTTGGCATCACTTTAGTAAATTGCTCATGTATTCAGGAAGACCCCGATTTTACATTGCCGAACAATTGGGGGTGCGTTGTCCCAGTTACTAACTTAGTCAGACTAGGTCATTTAAATTGAATAAAGGACTGATAATTGATTTTTTCACAACATAAATAGATTTTACGGTGGCATTTTATTCTCTCCCACAAAAGATATATTTTCCAGAGTGTACTGCCGATTCTATTTTGCGTCTCATCAGCACCTACACAAAGTTCCGAAACCGGATCTTGTCAATTTTGACAACACGTTTTCCCGCTCTTACACATCCTAGATGTGGCGGTGAGGCCTAGCCATATAATTGTGGGAAAAACTGCCATATCAGTCATTCAATTATTTTAGTCGCCCTTGGCTGACTAAATTTATATCAAGCATTATTGATAGCTTTTTAACATACTTGTGCGCAATATAAGTAGCATAGACAATTATAATGAAAAATACATAATCAGCCTTGGGAAAAGTCACATGCCCTGTGACCAACCTATATCCGTCTCTCTGTAACGGAAGGGTAGCGTGTCACCATACTGAGCTCGACCTGGGTTAGAATCCCGTTAGCAAAGCTGATTATACTGTGAGGCGAGGTCGAAATGACAGCAAAGCCTGTATTATAAAAACTTTGAGAGGCAAGGTATTTTAAAAATCTCGTAATATAGTAATAAAAGCTCCGCTGTCAATCATTACATAATTTTTCGTTTCATAAGTAGGCTTTTCGCGACTACCAGTAGATCTGAAATAGGAGCTGTATTCACCCTATTTCGTTTAAGTTTATCAAGGACTGGTAGTTGAATTTTGCCGCAATTATAAGAATTTACATTAAACTTCGCAAAAATTTGCTTCACAAAAGATACTCTTCTTTGGGCTGGAATGCAGTTTATGTCTCGCTTAGGCAATGCAAAACAAAATGGAAAATTAAGACCTAGTCATATGATTGTGGGAAAGTTAAATCACCAGTACGAGAATAACCCTTCATTCTTTAGAGAATTTGAGTAACTTATGCTGACATAATGCTAAATGACCCTCTAATATGACCATTGAAGCCATCTATATGGTCCATTTTTTGTTAAATGGTAGTGACAATTCTGTTCACAAATAACCCTCGATTAAAATATACGAAGAAAACCTGGATTTCAAAGAATTCTTCAAAGATATATTGTGACATGATCTTCCATCTCTAAGAAAAAGGTGGATAGAACAAATTTGTGTAATGGACTCATTGGAAACGGAGGGAGGATTGCCGGGAATTAAAGACTGTGGGATTTGACGAAGAATTCTTCAGCTCACCGTTTTACGACCCCAATGAACCTGTGCCAAGCTTTCGTCTCTATCGTCGTGACAGGCATAATCGCAGCAAGAATACATACTTAACGAAATAGTACAAAAATATACTATACAAGGAGAAAATGCTTCAACTAGTCACTTTTTAGACCTTTCCTTTCTTTATTTTGTAAAGTATGATTACTTGCTCTGATGATGTCGGTCACAATAGTTCACTAAGGAATTCTTCGAAATCCAGTTTTCATATTCATAGTACCTATTCGGCATTTTATATGAAAGCAAAAAAATGTTGGCCAGGCATTACAGTCGTTTTTGTTTTTTGGAAGTTTGCTCTTCATGTAGAATTATACCTAGATTTTGTGTTATTTCTAGAACTAATTTACCTTGTAAGACTAAGACTAGTATTTTGGGCTTATGCCATATTTTGGTTGATACTAAGCTTAAGGAAAACGTTGTAAATCTGCCCTCATTAATTGGAATTAAGACTATGCTTAGACAGTCTACTTGACTTTGTGTTTATTGACTTGAGAATTTTACAAGAATGAGTTCCAACTCTGCTGATGTCCATCATTTGATCGACGAAAGATCAGCCCATTTTCACATGAAGCGAACGAGGATGTCTCGTGGACTGCGCCAGCCTGAACGTCGTAGTAAAGCCAAACGGCTGAAGTGCAACGGGAATCAGCTGTCCTTCTTCATGCACTTTCATACGAAATGAAAGTCATTCAAAAAATGGTCTTTCAGGAGACTCATCAAAACGCAGTTACTCTTCGTATAAGCACTGATAATTTGATTATGTTAAATGAAATGACTTGGTCTTGCGATCCCATTAAAGTTCACTTTGCTTTGCCTCACACAAAAGCATATTAAACTATGCAATTCATCAGCTTGGAGGGCTAAGAACCGATACCATCGGACTCAAATCCTATGCAAAACTCTAATTTACTGCATATAAAAGGACTTTTCAACGCTTCTTGCCTCTAAGTTAAGTTGCTCTCTCCTCATCTAATTATATTCCAATTGAGCTTACGCATTTTTGCCACCTTCTCCGGCAGCTCGACTTTCCGAAAGTGACAAGCACTTCGATTCAGAGTCTCATCACAAAAGAGGGGGTGTTAGTCATACGTTTTTTCTGCTGTATGGACCGTTTTGCATTGTACCTACCTGATTGTCTGATAGTATGCGCCAACTATTCTTAGAAATAACTAAAAATAGCAATCATAAACCGTTTTACGCACTAGACATCTTCGGCTCTACGGAAACTCTATTGGACACCTTAAGAAATCAATGTGAACGCATGCAATCAGTTGCTATAGGAGTAAAAGCCTCCGAAATTACCATGCTTTGTGGACGTTTTTAACGAAAGAATTAGTCGAAATAAATCAAAACTATTGATCTAGAAAAGGGGCAATTTGGAGACAAAGAAAGTTGCTGATATCTGCTTAAGGCGTGCACCCTAATCATACTCGATTAGGGTTTTTATTGTTGCATGGCTATTATTTAGTCCCGAATACGAGACCACCGGTTTTGAGCTATTCGGTGGTTAAGGCGAATAAAGAGCTCCAAAAACTATGCATTTCGAGACTTCGTAGCATACAGACGTGAAGAAAAAGCCTCACCCAAATAGAAAAAGAAAAGATTACGGTGCTTATGTGGTATGAAAAAAAATTAGAAAAGGTTGCTGACATGCTATGAAGTATAGGTTATATGCTGATTTCATGGTGTGAATAGAGAGCAAACTAGGAGTGCGTGTGTGTATGTGGACAAATATGCTGATATATGAATAGGTTTATGGGCAGAATTTTGTCCATGAGGAACGCAAAGTATCATAAAGGAAATGTACCACAGCTAGATCCTATTTATATTTTAAAAGTAAATATTTAATTCAATTATTTCTAACTAAAGGCTGAATTGGTAAGCCTGAGGATAGAGATATTCGTCCACCTATAGCGGGCGAAGACTAGCTGGCATAAAGGCAGTTACCAAGTCAGTTATATCTAAGATCAACCATTCACATTATCAAGACAAGCCCTCGGCCTGAAGCTGAGCGAAATATAATCGGCAAATGCAGCTTGGCGAAAATCCCCGATCTAAACTGGAGAGGTCGAGCTAAATAATAATAATAATACTAAAGCAATACGATTAAAATCAATAATTATTTTTTTTAACGAGGAATATCTTTCCCGCAAAATGTTTAGAGAGAAATAGAAATTATAGCAATACCTCCCTGGGCTTCTCTTCCACCAGCATAGAGAGCTTATACTATTCAATCATCAACACTTATTTTAACTTCCCTGAAGTAGACTGGAAAAGTTCTTACATTTTTCTTCAAAATGTTCCTCAACATTCAATCCTGCATGTCAACACAAATAATCAAATATGTAATTAATTCATTAAA